ATGATCTGGATTCAGGATTGCTGTGGGAGGTGAAGGGAGATGGGGACACCCTGTACAAAAGACCAGGATTACTGCTCTCATGGTCATGCGGCCTGGGGGTAATGGGGGATGTAGTCCTGAAACCCTGGAGGGCAGCCAGGTGGAGGAGGCTGAGCTCCCGCAAAGGTATTTTCTCATCTGAAGGCAGACGTGTCCCCTTCACGGGAAGCAAAAGCCCCATAGATTCAGGACCTTTGCTGCTAAGTATGTAGAGCTGGACATGACTGGACTAAAAATGTCAAGGGTGGGAAGCAAAAGCCCCATAGATTCAGGCCCTTTGCTGCTAAGTATGTAGAGTTGGACATGACTGGACTAAAAATGTCAAGGGGAACCTTTACCTTTTACCTGTGTAGAGATCCCGGCAGAAAAGAACTCAAACTCTTTCCTGTGGGTTTGAGAATACCTGCCTCCGGACACCTGTTTTTAAGGTATGTGCCCTGCAGCCAGATTTTGGGGGGCAAAGATGTCAGGCAATTGGGGGCAAAGGGCCCCATTTCACCTTTGGCATTTTACCTTTTGACATTGTTTCTTGACCTGGAGAGGGCCAAGTTACATTGACTGCAAGGATTCTTGTTCAGCCAGTGGCTACACACACACACACACACACACACAAACACACAAACACACACACACACACACACACACACACACACACACTTTGAAGAGGAAAAGCAGCAGCAGGAGGGAACAGAATGTCATGGGTCTGAATGCCAAGGGTGCACAGCCTTTCAGCAGGAATGCCAACACTGACTGCCCTCAAGTGGGTTCCAGTTTGTACTCCGACCTGCAAAGTGGGTTGGAAGAGGAAGGGACGTGGGAGCGGGCAGCGTGGGACAAGCCTGGGCTCAAGGGTCTCTTCCACCCCCTCAGGCACTCACTACCTCCGTGGAGTGAACAACGCCCACCAGCCCTGGCACAGCCTGGAAGGCCGCAAGCAGTACGGCCTGAAGCCAGCCAACCCCACCGAGGAAGGTCTGGCCAGCCTGCACAGTGTCCTCTTCCGGAAGCAGCCCTTCCTGTGGCGAGCCGCCCTTCTGTACTACACCATCTTCCAGGCCGGCCGCATGTCCTTCTGTGCACTTTTCCATGATCTGGAGCGCTACGTGCAGGACCCAGGGGTGCGATGGGAGTATTGCGTGCGGGCCAAGCGGGGCCAGGCCGACACCTCAGGGCCAGGTGAGGAAGAGCAGTGGCGTGCAGGGAGGAGCGGGGCCCTGAAGCAGGCCCAGCGGTGGTACCTCCAGCCTTCTGCCCAACCCTTAACAAATGTAAGAATGGTAAAGTCATTGGAAACCCTGAAGGGTGAAAGGGGATGTAGGGGAAGGAAATAAGGATGAAAGTCTAAGAATAAATAGTCAACAGATGGAATGTGTTGCTTTAAAATATTGAGGCCAGTGAATAACAGTTAACAACAGCAGTGACACAGAAATACATGAACTGGAAGAGGACACAGTACAATGAAATGTGAGGAAAAATAAGTAATGCTGACAAATGATAATTTTTTAAAAAAATGTGCACACACAGTTGTTGATGTGAAGAGTTAGTTCTTTCTGACTAGCTGTGGAAGGAAACAAACTCTCCCCCACCCCACCCCACCCCCGGCCCAGAACAGCCTTATGGCTCTAGAGGGCCTCTGGCAGGAAAAGCAGCAAAGCCTCATGAGGGCGCCTCGAGCATCTTTCTTGTCGTTCTGGCAGCTGTTTCTGGAGCAGAAAGAGGACCAGACCCACCATGTCCCACCCACGTCTCTCCTGCTGGTTCTCTTTCAGGGTGTTTCAGCAAAGATCAAGTCTACTTGGATGGAATTCTCCGCATCCTGAGACATCGCCAAACCATTGACTTCCCGTTACTGGCAGCACTGGGGAAGGTAACACCTGGTTAAGGCAGTCTTGCCCCTGAAGGATGTGGGTCTGCTCCCTTCCCTGGCCAGTAGGAAGATCTCTGCTTGGCCCCCATGTTGGATCATTTCTCTCCACCCCTCTGTCTTCCTCTGGCTGTCAAACGTGTCAAGATAGGCAGGCATAGTTGAAGGGAGACGTAAGGAGGAGGAAGAAATGGAGGTTCGCCGCCTCCATTCTGCCCTGGTTGTCGGATAGCCTCTGGGCTCTTCCTAAGTCCCCTCAGGAGTTATCAGGATCAGCAGGAACTAGATTTGGGTGGGAGAGTGGCAGCAGGAAGGGTGCCTTCCTGAAAACCAGATGCCATGGATGGCTCTGGGTCAGTTGTGAGGCCCTCGGAGGACAAGGGAGGACAAGGGAGACATAAGTTTGACGAATGAGGTAACTCAGTTAGGTCATGTTGAAAGCTTGGTGGCCAAGCACCACCAAAACTGCAGAGAAACCCATGTTGTTTCCCTTCCATGGCAAATAACAACCTGGGTGGGTGAGGTGGTAGAAATATGGTAAAAGGTTTTTGCTTCATTCTCCGGTGGCTTTTAAAAGCAAGGCAGCCCCAAGAGCCGGGAGCGTCCGGTTTCACGCTCTGTGTCTTCTTGAGCCTCCTGCAAAGACAGGTGGTGCCCAAGCCAGGCTCCCNCCCCCCTGTGCCGCCCTGCCACCCGACCGGTCCTCCGTAGCTACACAAAGCCTGCCTTGCAAACAAAGGCCGAGGCCTAGTCGAGAAATCCTGTCCTAGCATGCAGGTGTGTTCTCCCTCTCAGGTCTCGTATGAAGACGTGGATCACCTGAAGCAGTATGGGGCTCTGGAGAAGGCTCGGATCCCTCACTTCATGCAGGACACTGAGCGGTATATGCAGCAGCTGGACCACATTGTGGCCACCAACTGCCTCAGCGATGAAGAGCTGGAGCAGCTGCTGCCAGCCTGAGCCCACGGCCCCTCTACTGAGCTTGGCTAGACAGGCTGCCTGAGGACCCTGGACGAGCCTGCGGCCCCAAAGGGAAAAGGCGTGTGTGGACCGCAACTAGCTGAAAACAGGTGCACAGCGCACGGTGTACTCTTTATTCTTTCTTTATTTGTCGTCTCTGGTGGATGGGGAATAGGTGAAGCTGAGGCAGCAGCTTGACCAGGAAAACCTTGGTAGTTTTGTGCTGAAGGCTTTGGCCTGGGGCTGCTGATTTTTCAGACGATTACTAGTGTCTGCTGAATACCTGCTGTGACTTGATCGTTCTCTGCAGGGGACATCTGTTACATAACAGCACTGATGTTACCTGTCTGTCATGGGTTTGGAGGGAAAGTTCCATCCTATGGGGAGTGGAAGGCGGGACATCAGGAGGAGGGGCTGTACTGTATAAATATGTGATGCCTGTGTGGTGAAGAGCAGATGCTGAGACAGACTGTGAGACACTGGGTTGGGACGAAGCAGCAGCTGGGGAAGAAGAAGCTGTTGTGGGAGTCTGGGTGTCTGACAGGGTACTACTGTGTGTCAGAGTACCAGCCTGAAAGGTTCAGGGGTCTGTTGGTTAGCCAGAACTGATGGGTTCAGGGTCTGTGCTTTAAGTTAAAGGTTCTAGGTGAACCAAACTGTATGCTTGTGTGTGTGAGAATAAGCCACGTTACTTTATTTTATTCACCTGATTGTTTTATTTACCCTGTTTGTATTTAAAATAAACCTTATTCTTTTGTTGTTTAAAAATCCATCCCTGGTCTGTGTGACTTATTATAGGGAATGGTTGGTGGCAGCTTAGTAACTGTGTGATAGATCCCAGTAGGTCTGGGTTTGTCACAACATCCTCAGAGGGGTCAGTGCTCCCGCTAGCGTCAAGAGACAGGGATATAAAGAGGAAAAATTCCTCCCGCAGCTAGCAATGTGTTCATCCAGTTTCATTATTGACAATTGTTGTGGTATCATTTGAACAACAAAGCACCGAACAGAGAGATTGAGAGAAGAAACACAATAGAACAAACCACAGAATGTGCAGTGCAGAGGCATTGCAAGGAAACCACAACCTTGGGCACACCCCTCCCCAGCAGTGAAGTCCTACTGGGTGGGAAACAGATCCTACTTCCTCCCCTGCAGGAAATGAACAATTCTCATTCCAGCTAGCTAGTGTTCCTTTTTTATTGCATGGAAGGAGGACATCTTTGAATGAGATGCATCAGCAAACGACCACCATCCTACCCTGCACAGTCATATCATGGGTGTCCCTTCTGCCTGCTCTACTTTCCCTCCACTTGCAGGAGTATCTACCCATCCTCTGAAAGATGCTTTGGTTGGAAGGAAGGTCTCACCATGTTATCATGTTATCCTATCAAGGATTGGGGCAGATTTTCAGGTAGTTGTCCTGCCTATGTTCATAAAAAGGGCATCCACAGGACTTACTGTTGATGGGATGACCACCCTCTTGGTGGAATGGATAGCAGCCTTCTCCCAGGCAGCATAGAAGCAGCGTTATCCTGGACTGTGGAAATGTATGCTGTCATATGCCTGGCCACTGATGGTCCTGGGTGGCATCCATGAATCTGCCATGACTTCCTGATTTTGGAAGGGAAGCAGAGTCAGGGCTGCTGAGCACTTGACTGAGAGGCCACCAGGCAATAAATGCCAGAGATCTCCAGGTTAAGGGAAGGAACTCTTCATGAAAGCCTGGATACAATAGATCCTGTGTACAATAGATCCTGATACAATAGATCCTGTGTAACGGTTATAAAGATTCCTGGATTGAGCGGCTGTGCCAGGCTAGTTCCCAGCATTCTAGAAAACCTCCCATGTCTTTAGTCACTGGCAGTCCTGTTGCTCTGTGATTAGAGCAACTGGGCAGCCCCTGCCCAAGGGCTTGACAATCTGATGCCAGGCACCATCGGCAAGGTGGGGCTTGGGGGAACCCACATGCACCTTGCTGGGGGGCTGTGCCATCCATTCTTCTCTACTTGCACATAAATGGAGCCAGGGACCGTCTCAGAGATATGAGACTCACTGGCTCCTCGCTATGGGCGTGCATGTTTGCATAGCCTGCCATTGCCTCAGGCTCTCTGTGTGAGCACAGGAAAAGGCCGTCTGGATGAGACCAAAGCTCTACCCGGTCCACCAGTTCTGCTGGCACAGAGGCATTATTTGCCTACAGGAAACACACAGGAATTCTCTTGTCTCCCTACAGCTGATGGACAGAGTCATATGCCCTCTGATACTGGAGATCCTCTCCTGCCACCAGGCTAGCAGCCCTAATCCTGTCCCTGTTCTGTGTATTCAACTCCCTAGGCCACCATCACTCCTATCCTTGGACAGGGATCTTTAACGGGGATGAGCAGTGTGGCAAGCATCTTGAACCCCCCACCATTCAGCTTCAGTGGGTGACCGCTTTGCATTGCGTTCTTGAAAGTAAAGAGGAAAGACCTGTCTGCTCTTCCCACCTTTTTTTCTTACACACCTTCTTTCTAAGACAAACAACCCAAAGTGTTGTGACATTTTCTCAGAGGGTAGTTGATCCAGTCCACGGGTAACTTGACCTGCCCTTTTCTGCCCTTGTGTCAGTGTAGTTTTTCCTTTTTCAGCTATGATGAGGAAGGTATGCAGGGTCCCAGATGGAGTTGCAGTATAGATTTGCATAAGGGTCGTGTGAAATCAGCCATTTTGGTTTTGATTCCTTTTCTAAGTGTGACTAACAGAGAATTCACATTTTCCCCCCTATCTGGTGCACCTAGAGTTGACGTGTCCACCCCACGGTTACCCTTTCTTAGTCAGCTGCCTCCAGTCAAGATCCCATCAAGGGTTTCCACGCATTAGGCTTTTTTTTTTACCCACGTGCAGCAACATTTTTCATCTTAAGGGTCATTCCAATTTGAAGAAATCCTTCTGGAAGTCTTCACACTTTGTCTTCTGCCCTTACACCACCCTGAAAACCTGATGTCATCAGCAAAGCTAGCCACCTCAGAATTTGCCCATAACTGGTCAAACGTTTACAAAAGTATGAAAAAGTTCCCTGAGGGACTCTGAACCTCATACACTCTGTTGTGAGAAGAGACTGCTGCTTCCATTCTGCCTGCTTCCTGATTTTCATCCAATTTTCAGTCCAGAAATGACTTTTTTTATGGCACTATGATCACTAAATTTGCTTAAGAGTCTTTGGCGATGGACTCTGAAATGTCCAAGTGGAAAAGGTCTGCTGGCTCACCAGGGCCCAGGTGTCTGCTGAAACTTTAAAAGGCCTGTAAAAAGTCCACAAGGCGGGGCTGCCCTTTGCAAAAGCAATGTTGATTCTTTTCCAGCAGGACCCGTTCCTCTCCTGTTTGATAATTTTATCTATAAAACAGTTTCTACCAGTTTTTCTGAAACAGACATTAAACTAACTGGTGTGTAATCTCTCAGATCTCGACTTGGTCCATTTTTAAAAACGGTGTTACGAAACTCACTCCCTGACTCTGTGGTGTGGAGGCGGCTCCTAAGGATATGTGACACGTTTTTGTTTGACGATCAGCAATTTCTTATTTCAGGTGTTAAAAGAACTCCAGGGTGGGTATCGGAAGGTTTGTCTGGAGCTTGTCAATAAAGTCTAGAACTACTCCCATCATCATTGCTGCCTCAGATTCTTTTTCTGCCTACCCTGGAAACCCCAGTTTGGGCACATCCACTTTCTTTACATCTTTTTTGCTGAAGAAAGAGAAGAATCACGGAATCAAGGCATGGGAAGGGGGGGCTCTGAGGCCCTCGGGTCCACCCCCCCCCCCGCTCAAGAGGGTGGCCCCATTTTCTCTTGAGGGCCTCGAGTGAATAACTCAACCAGCTTCTTTGCAGTCTCCCTGCTTCGGTCTGGACCCCTTTATTTGCCCTTTTCATCCAAGATCCTATCACTTCCCTCACTGAGGCCAAACACAATCTGAAGGAGCAGCTACCGCACTGATTGTAGGCACCAACTCAGGGGGTTTGAATGAAAGAGGGTGGCCCCATTTTCTCTTGAGGGCCTCGAGTGAATAACTCAACCAGCTTCTTTGCAGTCTCCCTGCTTCGGTCTGGACCCCTTTATTTGCCCTTTTCATCCAAGATCCTATCACTTCCCTCACTGAGGCCAAACACAATCTGAAGGAGCAGCTACCGCACTGATTGTAGGCACCAACTCAGGGGGTTTGAATGATTGATGGTAGAGGAGGGCTGCACGTCACAGTTAGAAGCCCTGATAATATGCAAATATCCTCCTCGGACATGGAGAGAACACGGGAGTCTAACAGAGCTCTCCTTTGAAGGCTTGGGGGGGGGGGGGAGCCACTCAAGTTCTTCCCTTGCGGAGCTGCATGGGGACGAAGTGTTTTCAGGTTACAAGCCCTTTCAGGGATCAGTGGATCAGGGAGCAGGAGGAAGAGAAACGGCGCTGCTGAGAAGCTGGGCGCTCTTTTTCCAAATGTCCCCCAACCAGTGGTGAAGAAGAGCAATGAAGGACGACGGCCCCAGTCTCTTGGAACACGGCCGTAACAGCCGTCTTCGGCTTCTTGGACTGGGCTTCTTGATCCCTTCACTGAGTTCTTGGGGGGGGGGGGAGAGGGAGACGGCCAAAACCTTTTGCACACTCCGAGGCATGAGCCTGCAAATCTATAGCTTTGCTGGTTCTGAGGTTTGTTCATCAGCATGCCTCCTCTTTGCACCTGCTGCCCTTTCTCCTCCGCCCGGACCTTTTCCCGGGCCAAGCTGTTGCCAAAGGAGGTGGGTCCGCCCCGAGGCGAGGCCCCCAGTTTCCGCGTGTGCTCGGGATCCCTGCGTCGGACCGAGCAGAGCTCGGCTGCTCCCTCTGAGCTCCGGAGCGCCTGACCCGCCGCCCCTTTTCGGAAGCCCTTTTTCGCCCGGGCCCGCCGCCCCGCCATGAGCAAGCCGCCTCTCCTGCTGCTGCTCGCCCTGGTCGCCTCGGCCTGCTGGCGGGGACCCGCTTTGGCCGCGGAAGGTAAACCGGCGTGGGGACAGGGCAGCGCTGAAAGGACCCGAGCGGCGCCGAAGATGCCCCTGAGCCGCCGGGGGGGGGGAGGGGAGTTGCCACAGGGCTCGGGCCCCCCCTTGGCTGCCCCGAAGGGCGTGTCAGGCAGTCATTCTGCCAGGGGCTGGGGGTGCGGGGCCCGGGAGCAGGCGGCCCCGTCCGGGTGCTGGTGGTGGCCCCCTGGGGAAAGTCTTCTTCCTCCCAAGCCCGGGCATCCCCTAGTCCTTCCAGTCAGCTGTCGGTCCATCATGTACTTCCCGACCTTGCGAGCCTTCCGGTCTGCTAGCCTTCCTATCGGATACTATGCCTCCCCGTGGCGGGAGAGCCTGGTGGGCCTTCGTGCTGCGTGGCTCTAACCAGGGCATCCCTCTTCATTCAAGAGACGCGAAGTCCAGAGCTGCCCCTGGCACCCCACCTGCCCCCTGGCCCGTGCCCCCCCCCACACCCACCCACCCAAATGTCAAGGCTGCCTCTCTTGGACAAGTTGCTCTCCTTCCCCGTCCACTGCACAGGCCAACCTGCGGCTCCTCCTGAAGTGCTGACGGCCCTTGGGAGACTCCGAGGCCGGCAGGTCAACGTCCCTGGTGCCGATCGGACGGTCGATGTTTTCCTCGGAGTTCCTTACGCAAAAGCACCCGTCGGACCGCTGCGCTTTTCCCCTCCACAGCCGGCGGAGCCCTGGCGTGAGCTCAGAAGCGCCACCTCCTACCCACCGATGTAAGTTGCCGGCAGAGACTGGGTCACCCCCGAGGGGTCTGTCTCCTGCTGCTGCTGCTGCTGCTGCTGCCGCCGCCAATGAGGTCGTCGTGAGGAGAGTTGACCCAAACCCTCACTTTTCTGGGCTGCTTCTCTGAGCGCCGCCGCCGAGGGAGGACCGACCGACCGACCGACCGACCGCAGGCTCCCCAGCTTTGGCCTCCCACTTGCCGTCAGGGGGAATGTTTGCGTTCCCTGGGACGAAGTGGGGGGGGGAGGAGGAGGGGGGAGTCCTTTGTGAGCCTGAATGTGGAAGCAGGGCAGCCCATAATCCTGGGATTTCCCAGCACCCCAAATAGGTCCCTTTTGGCCAGTCTCGGCAGGGAGACTGCAGAGTGACAGGACGGGCGGTGCACCGGCAGCCCACACGTTCTCTCTCTCTCTCTGCTCTCAAAGCTCACCACAGAGGTGTGAAACTAGAGCTAGGGCAGATGGGTCTCCTTGTGAGAATGCCTCCCTGCCAGCCCTCCTGTCTACATGGCGAGAGTTTCAGCAAAAACTCGTCTGGAGAAAAGCTGGCTCGGGTCCCCCTCCCCCCCCATCCCATCTTCTCTATCCAGGTCCCAGTGACCAAAGCTAGGCTGGAGCCCTTTTTCCCATCCAGCGGATGGATGGCAATCATGTTACAATGAACCAGCCTAACAATTCACTGCAATAGATTGGCAGAGCAAGGAAGAAGGAGGCCAAAAGGCAGGAGGAGGGCTGTCCCTTCCACCCCTTGCTGGTGCTACGATTTAGGTTGCATGAATCTGGTTTTGGTCTGTTCTGCTTTGTGTTAAGGTGTTTGCAGGATCCAGGGGTAGCACAAAGGCTATCTGATGCTTTCACCAACGAAGAAGAAAAAGTCTCCTTAAGGAATTCTGAGGATTGTTTGTACCTGAACATCTACACACCCACCCGTTCAGACAGCAAAGTGAGGTTACCGGTAAGCAGACTTATTGCCACGGCATCTTGACTCCTTACAGCTCAGTGATTGTAATGCCCTCTGTTTTCTATTGGGCCCTTCTGTGGCAGCTTTTGAGAAGGGAGCTGCCGTGGGGCCATTCTCTGAGCCCTTTTCCAGTGGACGTTTCAGAACCCAGTGCTTTCCCTCAAGGTGACGAAAAAAACCCCGAGAAGCTGCTAGGACTTAACTTCACCCACTGAGCTCCAGAGGAAAGGTCGAAATTTTGGGTAGAGCTGCCTCCACCCCCTCAGACAAGAGAATAAAGTGAACTCTTGACATGCTCAGTCATGGCCAATTGGCTAACCAAGAGACTTAGATGACCTGGGTTCCCCAAAAGCAAGCCAAAGGTCTTTTAAAAGTTTAAGAAGAAATAATAACAATAAATAATATAAACAAATTAAAGGTTATGCTTGGCTGAAAGTTGGGAAATAAAAAGTTTGCAAGGTTATGGAAACAGTTACAAAATCACAGAACAGTCTATTGGGAAATAAAAGATAAGATTATGCAAAACGAAGAACAGACTTTGCAAAAAAAATGGGTAACAGGCTATGAACATTGCAAGCAAAAAACAGGCTGTGAATACTAACAAAACTGAGAACGGACTTTGAACTTTGGCAAAAGGAAGAGGCATAAAAAAATACTATTCTGCTGTGGGGTCAAATTCCTCCACCTCTTCTTAATCAGCACTGGTGTCGCAACAGCCCCAGGACAGCTCAGCTCACCTCTCTGTGTTCCACCTCTAAAGTTACCTCCAAGCAGAGCTAAGAGCCCTTTCCAGCTAATCTCTAACTGCCCAGCTCTTTTCACTCTGACTCCTTTTTCCTCTCTTTCTGCTAAGAATCATCTTAAAGGTTCACTCCTAAATCCTTTAATTCCACACTTCAAAGTGTAAAGGGTTTAAAAGGCTGAAAGCACAGGTCTGGAATGGTTTCTTTAATCTAATCCCTAATTCATTTGGTTTCTTTTCCATTCAGCTGTGTTAATTGCCCTTTGGTTGCTTCCTGGCCATCTTGGGAGACATTTGGCTTGTTCTTTTACATATCAGAGGAGGGCTGCTTGACTTTCCCTTGGAAAGGAATGCTCCTTTTGATCTCTACTTGGGTTTTGGATGGCAATCGCACTTTTTATCATTGCTGCTCAGAATAGGGCTTAGACATTTATTTATTGCTTAGATAGATAGATTAGATAGATAGACAGACAGACAGACAGACAGACAGACAGACAAGAAATTATAAGAAATTATATATGTATATAATATTTTTAATATATTTTATTACAGATTTTTATACAATATATATAATACTTTTTAAAGGGAACTTCTACCTAGCTAAGCCACATTTTTATAGAAGACTTCAAATATAAAGAATCATTTGCTGTCCTGTCAGGTCTCTCTCTTCAGGAGCTCCCCATATCCTCCCCCCCGCCCCACTGGCATCCTTTCAGAGTTCTGGAAACTTGCTGCAATGTTCCTTTGTCAGACATTCTCAGATGTCAACCTTCTGGTTAGGTAACTTGGTTTTGTTTTTTGTTTGTTTGTTTTTGGTTCACATGAGCTAGAAAACTGTTCCCAGAGTCGAATTTCTGCAATTTCTTGCTTTAGATTACTGACACCCCCTCCACAGCCTGCAGGTGTTAATTTTCCTCGAGTCAGTGCAGCTGCAGGAGGAAAAGAGGAGTTCCACACCTGGCACAGCAGGGAACTTTCTTCTTTGGTTTTAGGTGATGGTCTGGATCCATGGAGGAGGGCTCCTGCTGGGCGCAGCCTCCACATACGATGGCTCAGCATTAGCCGCTTATGAAAACGTGGTGGTGGTGGCCATCCAGTACCGGCTGGGTATTCTTGGTTTTTACAGGTAAGGGGTTTCCCTCAAGCCACTTAAAAACTGATCCAAAAGCAGGAGTTAGTTAGGCAGGAAGGAAAAGACGGCCTGAGTTCCGTCCCAGAGACCAGACCGCTTGACCTGCTGGCTTCCTTGTGAAGCCCCCTCCTAGAGACTGGGGCGGAGATGGGCTTGAGTTTTTGACTGGCAGTGTCCCAGGGTATCCGTGTGGGAGAGACTAGGAAGCTTCCACTTAACTGGATATTTTCAAACTGATGCCAGATTGGCTGCGGATTTTGTGCATTGGAAGGGGAACTGGCCTAGATGACCCAGGGAGGGGGGGGGGGGTCCTTCAACCCCACAGTCCTGTCATTCTATAATTTTCTGCATCTGACCAAATCAAAGAGTGAGGACTGGCAGCTGCCTTCACAGATTGCCTTCTAAGCTGCCTGTGGCCCAGACATGTTCTGGTGGATAAGTTCCTTAAAGGCTTTTGGAATTTGTTTTAAACCATGTTTTCCATCTATTTTTTAAAAACCAGTTTTTATTTCCTGCCTATGTTGCTTGGGAAGTCCAGGTGGATAGAAAACTGAAAAGCAAGGATTGCACATTCATAAACCAGTTTGTGAACGGCCCTTCCCCTCCTGTGGGAGCATCAGCGGCTGAGGTGCAAGCCAGAAAAGGGCTGGCAGGGCAGAGATGGGGGGCCCCTTTCTTCCCAGCTCAGGCACCCCCCTCCCTTTCCTGCCCCCTCAGGAGTGGGGGCCTTTGGAGTGGCACGCCCAGAAGAAGAAGCCCCGGCCAGTGGCTTGGCTTCTCCTTGCTTTCTTGGTGGAGGTGGTCTCTGCGTGTGTGCATGCGTGCATGCGTGCAGGTGCATGTCTGAGTGTGTTCTGAGCTTGCATTGTATTCTGGACAGTTTTCACTGCCAAAACTGTCTCATGTCCATCCTTGGACTTAACATATGAAATAGGCTACATCCAGGTGAAACTCAAAGCATCGTGGTCCACAACATGTGGTTAGTTCTTGGATCATTCATCCAGAGACTGTCATTTCTCGCGAGGGGCTTTTCTATGTTCATCCTACCCATGCACAGGGCAGTCACGCCAACATGTCCAACAGGAGCATAATATTCATCAGATGGGCAGAGCGTGTGAACTGGCTTACTTTTGATGACATGCATTTGAACAAATGAAGGTTCCTCGTTTGTCAGGTCATTCCTTCCAGCATGTCTTTTAAAAGATGCAATGTGGCCATCCTTTTGTGTGTTCAACCTTCCGCTTCCCAATCTCTCACCCTTCCTGGACCTACATTTTATTTATCTCTTGTTCTTTCCAGTACTGGTGATGAACATTCACATGGAAACTGGGGATTCCTGGACCAAGTAGCAGCTCTCCAGTGGATCCAGGAGAACATTGCATTCTTTGGAGGAGATCCAGGATCTGTGACTTTATTTGGAGAGTCCGCAGGAGGTTGCAGTGTTTCTGCCCATGTATGTCCATGATCCTTTTTTGGTACATGTCAGAAACATCACAATACAATTAATAAATATATCAGATAATTTTTGCCCAATAACGGGCAACACCAAAATCATTTGGGCAGCTGAAATCAAGGCCATTGGCTCTTGTCCAGACTGTGCCTGGTAGTTGATCCTCTAGGTATAGCCCATGATGGGGGTATGTAAAAAAGAGGTGGGTTGTGATATTCCTCAGGGTACCTTGTCTGTCCTTTCAGATCATCTCATGGAGGACACCCAAAATACTGCTGAGGAACATCACATTCTGGCAATGGGTTCAAGGGGGGGAAAGTCATCCTGACATTGCCACTTGCTCTCTCCTTGTGTAGGTCTTGTCGCCAGTGTCAAAGGGCTTGTTCCATAAAGCCATCTCTCAAAGTGGTGTTGCTGTCCTAAATGCCATCTTCGATGCCCACCCAGAAAGGTTGGCAAAGGTATGTAACGGGAATTCTGACAAAGGGAAAGAAGCTGGCAGTAGAACTGGTTCCAATAAAGGCCTTTAGAGTTATCATGTCATTACTATGCTTTAGGCAGAAATGCAGATTTCACACTGAGTAAGGGAGGGGAAAACATTTACCTGCAAATAAGCCTCTCAAAGGATCCTGAGTGAGGCACTGAAATCATTTTTCCCAATTCTCTTTATAACATTGATGAACCATCTTGTAATAGCCCTTAATCCGCTTCGATCACTCTGCAGAACAAAGGGACATTCTAATACGAAATTCAACAAAAGCCAGCTTTCCTGACCTGTTCCCCGCATAACCCCAGGCAAGGAAATATGCCAGTTTCTTAATTCATGGATACAGCCACTTGATGACCACTTTCTCTCTC